CTGGCTGGTGAGGACCCACAAAGTGTCCCCGCGTACAAACAATGCCCTTGTCCAAGCACACACCCCTTCATCTCTCAAAACACAAATACATAACTCACAGAAACAAACAATTTGTTTTTTCTTAACAAGTAAAACAAGAACCAAGCAAGAGAGGAGTCCTCTACAGCATCCATGTCCTTGTCTCGGGGCCTCATCTGGAGTAATTTACACCCCGGGCATTTGTGGTGGTGGTGGGGGGGGGTTGTGGTGGTGGGGGGGTTGTGGTGGTGGGGGGGGGGTGTGTTGTGGTGGGGGGTTGTGGTGGTGGGGGGGGGTGTGGTGGTGGGGGGGGTTGTGGTGGTGGGGGGGGGGTTGTGGTGGTGGGGGGGTTGTGGTGGGGGGGTTGTGGTGGTGGTGGTGTGGGGTGGGGGGTGTGTGGTGGTGGGGGGGGGGGGTGGTGGTGGTGGGGGGGGGTTGTGGTGGTGGGGGGGGTGGTGGGGGGGGGGGGGTTGTTGTGGTGGTACTTACCTATCAGTGACAACGGGGAAGTCAAGTCTAGCCCAATATGCCCCGCCTACCGCCCGTTGTGCTACAAGTCAACTATTCTGACGTTCAAACTCTTCGTCGAATGTGGCCGTAAAGTTGAGGATGGAGGCGGCTTCCACAACTTCTATCCGCGCACTCCACGTGTTGACCACTCTCACAAGGTACGAGCACTTTCCTTACATTTTTAGACTCTTGCTTTTCCAAGTTTCCACTCATGTCTTCTCGTTTTACCTATTAATTTTAAAGAGGCTGTTGATTCCGCTTAGTATCATCTATGCCGCAATCATGTCCCCTCTTCTCTCCTCCATGGCTGTGAGGTCTAAACCACCCTTGAAGCGTGCTCCTCTTAGCACACGCACTAATCTTTTTACAAACTTTTGCACTTTTTCCAATTCTGTTTTTATATCCTTAACAAGGTGCGGATTCCAGGCCGATGCTGCATATTCCAACATTGGTCTAACGAAGGTTTGGAAAAGCCCCGATTAAGGTTTCTTAACGACGTTTGAAATGTTTTGCCCGCGTGCCACATGCTGACGCCAACAACAGCCTCCCTGATCATGGGATCATAGGGAAGGCCTGGCCGCTGCCCCAGCTGCGGAAGCATATAAACTCTCGAAACCCACCACGGGTAAATCACAGCTACACACAGAAAACAGAGCAAGAGAGTGAGCGAGCAAGAGCTAAAGGGCCAGAGAGCGAGGGAGCAAGAGCCAGAGGGCCAGAGAGCGAGGGAGCAAGAGCCAGAGGGCCAGAGAGCGAGGGAGCAAGAGCCAGAGGGCCAGAGAGCGAGGGAGCAAGAACCAGAGAGCATAACAGGCTAAACAGTCCAGGTTCCACCCGTCAAGAAACAGACAGGCAACAAAAAAGGGGTAACATTTATGACAGCGCTGACTGTTAGCAGTGGTACCACCAGTGTTTTATGTGCGTGCTTCTCTCGTCCACTCACCAGTCTCCTCCTATACACTTATTACCACTTTAAAATAAAATCAATAAGAGTCTAACACATATCAATATTATTATGATGATATTGGAGAATAACTCCGTAACCCGCGGCAAGGAACTAAGGTATCATATTACAAACTTAATATTATGTATGCAAGCGAATATTCAAATGAATGTGCTAAACAGGTTAGGTTAAGCCATTTTCGTATTTGAGTGATCAGATTTTACAGTGATAATGGCCATCTTTCTGGCATTCTTGGTGGTTGTGTTGTTAGTACAGGGGCAGGCTGTAGACGGGTCCTGGGGGCCTTGTTGACGGGTGCCCGGCTTTTATGGACGGGGGACGGTGATAAAAGGAGGGGCCAGCAGTTTTGGTGCACCTTACAAGCACATCTAGGTTAGTACGTACCCACGCCCCCCCCCCCCCACACACACACGCAGGTATGCCACTAGGCTAGTCCCAGAACTAAGAGGCATGAGTTACGAGGAAAGGCTGCATGAAATGCACCTCACGAGACTGGAAGACAGGAGAGCTCGGAGAGACATGATCACAACCTACGAAATTCTCAGGAATTGATAGGGTAGATAAACTGTTTAAAACGGGTGGTACGCGAACAAGGGGGCACAGGTGGAAACAGAGTATCCAAATGAGCCACACAGACATTAGAAAGAGCTTTATTGGTGTTAACAGATGGAATGCATTAGGTAGTGATGTGACTATACACGGTTTCAAATGTAGATATGATAGAGCCCAGTAGGCTTAGAAATCTGTATACCAGTTGATTGACGGTCGAGAGGCGGGACCAAAGAGCCAACGTTCAACCCCCGCAAGCACAACTAGGCGAGTACACACAGACCGGTGGCCACAGCCCCCCCCCCCCCCCAGACATAACAACCTGGCCACTCCACCAGCCGCCTTCCCTCGAATTATAATTTTTAATTATGGACTTGTGTGTCCAGGGCGGCGTTAACTGCGGGCCAGGGGAGGGGGAAGGCTGCCAGGGGAGGGGGAAGGCTGCCAGGGGAGGGGGAAGGCTGCCAGGGGAGGGGGAAGGCTGCCAGGGGAGGGGGAAGGCTGCCAGGGGAGGGGAAGGTGAGGGCAATGAGAGATGACGACTTAGATGCGTCATTGAGTCTCACCGCTGCACCACGAACTACCCTCTGCACCTCGCTCCACAAGTGTAGGTCAGTCTTGTTTAATTGTTACCAGCACACGCGCGCAGGCCGCACGCAACGCAGGCAGGCGCAGCCATACAACATGTAACCTTCTGGTGTACAGTTAAGTACATAAATTACATTGCGATTAAATCCAAGTGTTGGCTAAATATATGATCCATAGAACTCCTAATCTAAGTCCACCTGAGTTTCAGGGTGCACTTCCATTATAAATTTTCTTCCTCTCTTTACCCCAAAAGCATTCTAAACGGATTGTAAACAGCCAAGTACTGGAGTTTTGAGGAGTACGGTGGACAGATGGTGTAGGTGCCCCCTTGGGCAGGGGAACAGGTCAGTGCCCACCTGTATACTGTCTAACCGAAACAGGTTACAAGTCTCGTGTGTACTCTAAAATTTTCACATAAATCTTTGTAAACATTTTTTCGGCTTGTGGTGTGTTTCATGACGTGGATAAATGACATTACGAGGGCATACTTGCACCTAGGAGCTAGGATTGTGGTGCAGGTGGTATACCAGCTGGGACAAGCCCAGCGGCCGTTTGTCTGGCCTGTTGACCCCAGGCGTCAGACATTTTCTATGTGTGTATATCACGAAAATAAACGTGATTAAAAATGTGACAGTGTCAGACCACGGAGGAAAATTGAAACAGGAATTTCCTCAAGTACTTTCGTATATTAATACACTTTCGTATATTAATACAACTTCAGAAGGAGTCAAATATACGAAAGTACTTAAGGAAATTCCTGTTTCAATTTTCCTCCGTGGTCTGACACTAACATTTTCTATTTATAACAGTTTCACCTATTTATATTCTATTACTTCTATTTATAGAAGTTTCATTAAGCTAAAGGCGACAAAGAACAATCTTGTCTCCCAAAGATACAAAAGCCATTTGAACAAGTCACAGCAGCAACATAACAAATAAAACTTGAAAACCCATTTTGACTCAGGCGTGGCAGCTCCTATTTATACCCACTCAAAGTCACTCAGATATATAGTCTTAACCTACGCTTTAAACCATCCAGCGATCCCTTGTTTATTATGCTATCCGGTAATTGGTTCCATGAATCAACAACCATGTTCCCAAACCAGTATTTACCCAGGTCTTTCCTAACTCTAAACTTGTTTCATTTAAATCCAGTCTATCGAATTCTTTTTTTAAACTCTCATAAACCGACCTACACTTAAACCTACCTTCATAAACGCGCAACATCCAGTCACTTAGTAAATTGTTAAATGAACTTTAGAGACCAGATCCTAAGCCTATGCCTCCAAGCCTATATGCCTTGGTAACCCGCTCCACCACGGGTTTGGGTATGGGTCGCATAATGATCGACTAAACTATTAAAAGACACGTGGCTTTTATTAAATTTATTTATGTAAAATAAAAATGCATAAAAGGTCTTTTTTTGGTTTGCTTTTCTAAGCTCCGGAATGGTTATTAAGGCCGCCGCAGTAACTGACCAACCATTTACCCTTGGGATATCCCGAGCATATCCCAGAACTAATGTATATTGTTGTTGTTCAAGATTCAGCTACTGGGAACAAAGTTCCAAGTAGCACGGACTATGGCGAGCCCGTAGTGGATTTATCGGGCACAGGAGCGGGGCTGAAACTGTTCTGTCTACTAATGTAAGTGATTGATGAAGATTAAGCCACTCAAAAGGTGGCATGGGCATGAATAGCCCGTAAGTGGTGGCCCTTTTGAGCCATTACCAGTATCAAGAGCTGATACTGAAGATCTGTGGAGGAGCAACTGCACCTTGCGTCACGGGACAGGTCTCCCGTACTACTAATGTAAAGGAGAGAGAGAGAGAGAGAGAGAGAGAGAGAGAGAGAGAGAGAGAGAGAGAGAGAGAGAGAGAGAGAGAGAGAGAGAGAGAGAGAGAGAGAGAGAGAGAGAGAGAGAGAGAGAGAGAGAGAGAGAGAGAGAGAGAGAGAGAGAGAGAGAGAGAGAGAGAGAGAGAGAGAGAGAGAGAGAGAGAGAGAGAGAGAGAGAGAGAGAGAGAGAGAGAGAGAGAGAGAGAGAGAGAGAGAGAGAGAGAGAGAGAGAGAGAGAGAGAGATTAAGCCACCCAAAAGGTGGCTTGGGCATGAATAGCCCATAAGTGGTGGCCCTTTTGAGCCATTTCCAGTATCAATAGATGATACTGGAGATCTGTGGAGGTGCGACTGCACCCTGCGTGACGGGTGATGTCTCCCGTGAATGTAAACCTTGAGTGTGTGTGTATATATATATATATATATATATATATATATACACACCAAGTGAGGAGCTCCGACGAGCGAGGAACACAGACTGTGATCAGGGGAAGAAATATGAACACCATCACAGCTCTTTCCTAGGCTACTCCTTACCTCGCCGCGGGTATTTCAACATCCAACAGTTTATTCTACAATCGCTTCATCTCCCACCGCTGCTTCACGTGATCAATCTGTATCAACACCTCACCGTGCAAGCTATGAACTATCACCTGTGTGTCCTGTAATGGGCCAAAACCACACCGAGATCACGAGTGACTGGCCGCGAGGCGCCTCGACCCCCATCATGTAAACAACGACTGGCAACACTTAACTCTTGCAATTGTAGCCTCCATATTTCCTTAATGAAATACAAGACATAAACCTGGAAATTATGTGTATTTTTAAATATATTCAAAGTAGTTAAGATACAAAAGTTATTTATTCACTTTTTTATAGTCCTTTCAATATTTTTTTTTAGGAATTTCCACGCAACTCGAATTTTTTAAAACACTTCCGTGGTTCCCTCCAAAAAAAATTATGATTAATATCATAAATAATCAGCAACATTTATTAATATAATTTAATTACTATTATTTATTATTAATATCTTTATTGACAACATTAAATACCATTTTGCCTGATGGGAGAAACTCAATTAGGTGTTATTAGAGTTGAGGTGCAGCTCCCACAGGGCAGCTGAGCATCATGCATAAGACGCTATAAATCTAAGTTATAGATTTACACGTATATGTCACAAGCTAATACATTAGACAGAAGACATGTTTTTAATTTACAAATTTGAAAGTTCAACTTTGCTTTGTTCAGGCGTGGTACACAGGACAGGATTGGAGGCATGATATGATAATTATCAGAGACGGTACCGTTATATATAATTATATGGCGGAGGAGAATGATATAATTATTATTATGAGATGATAATTATTTTGGTACTGCCATGATACCAAAGTTTTGTGTCAACTTAGGTAGTTTAAGGCCGCGGTGTTACCATATAAACAACAGATTTTACTTGCTTCATATTTACATTGTTCATAAATATTTAATAATTTTCCACATTTATTGTTCAAATTATTTACCGCATTATTTTATGTATACCATTATTATTATTATTATTATTAATAGTTGTTTTTATTATTATTATTTGTAGTAGCAGTAATATGTGTACTAAAATTGTTGTTGTTGAAGAGTAGTATTAGTCCTAGTAGTATTTGAAACATTTTTGTCATCCCTATTATCTTGAAGAGCTGACGATCTGTAATTTAAATTTCTCTGTATTTTAATAGTATAGTAATCAGAGGTATGAAGCCTAGGGCGACGCAGTGTATCTGGTGGAATATAATCTGGCGGTAAACCCGGCTAGCGAACAGCACCACAAACTGCTGGTAAACACAGCCAGCGAACAGAACAATAAGCTGGCGGTAAACACAGCTAGCAAACAGAGCCAAAGCTGGAGGTAAACACAGCTAGCGAACAGAGCCAAAGCTGGCGGTAAACACAGCTAGCGAACAGAGCCAAAGCTGGAGGTAAACACAGCTAGCGAACAGAGCCAAAGCTGGCGGTAAACACAGCTAGCGAACAGAGCCAAAGCTGGCGGTAAACACAGCTAGCGAACAGAGCCAAAGCTGGCGGTAAACACAGCTAGCGAATAGAACCATAAGCTGGCGGTAAACATAGTTAGCGAACTATAGCGAACATCCATGAGCTGGATGAGGGCTATAGGGTGCAGCCTTGGTGAGCTGAAGAGCATGGGGGTAGTGACCGCTGAAAGTGCTAGTGGAAGACGAGGAATGAAGGAGAAGGAGGAGGAGGAGGGGAAGAGACAACAAAGAGAGAGAAAGGGAAGGGGTGAAATGAGGGGGAGGGAGGAAGGGGGGGGGGGGGGATTTGTGAGCTGACTCACTTCTGTTGACTCTACCTGTCTCCCACCGGCGCCACGGCTCCTCCTCACCACCGTCGCCTCCACCTCCCTGCCCTCTTCCTCCTATTTCTCCTATTACTACTGCTCCTTCTCTTTCTTTCCTACTACACTCCTGCTCTTGTCCGCCCCCCCCCCTTTACTCATCTACCCTTCACTGTCATCTTGCCCATACATACCTTTCTTGCTCCCCCCATACACATTACACACTCACCCCACCCCCCAACACGCACTCACCAACCCCCTCTCACGCTTTATATCTTCGCCTCCCCCCACATTCCATCTTAATTTTCTATAATCTCACACCCCACCCCTTCTCGCCCCCCCCCATCCCCCCATCCCATCAGGACGACATAACCCCACCACCAAGGACGACACCTCACCCCCCCCTACCCTCCCCACCACAACCAACAACCGTCCTCAACATATTTGTTCTGGTTCACGCTTATTCCTTCTCACCTCCTCCACACCCCCCCCCCCCTCTCTCTCTCTCTCTCTCTCTTCTGCTCTCCCCCACCAGGACACCTGGCCACCCACCAGCCACCTGGCCACCCACCAGCCACCTGGCCACCCACCAGCCACCTGGCCACCCAGCCCAGCCACCTGGCCACCCACCTGGCCACCCACCAGCCACCTGGCCATCCACCAGCCGCCCACATCCTCTCTAAATTCCTGTCCGCAGGTAATATGTACAGCTGCACTCAGTCATGGGGAGAGACGTGTGCTATTCCTTGTCTGTGTTGTTGGTGTTGAGCGTGTTGCACTAGACAGGTTCGTTTATTGCATCCCGGCTTCTGTCTCCGCCTCTGAGGCCATGATGACCGTCCTTGCCTCCGGGGAAATACCTGGCAGCTGTCTGATGGCTGCCTACGCCTTATCTAGAGCTGGGACAATGTATCACACTTCTCACATAAGGAGTTGGCAGCCTTCGCGCGACTTCAAGACATCTTCCCAAAATCAGTCGAAGAAATCAACTGAAGTTTTGAGGTAATATAAGGTAATTATTAGGAGAAAGCACCAAGCCATTACGACTATATAGGACTTTTAAAGGATAAGACACGTGGGAAGGAATGGTGCCCAACCACTTGGCCAGTCGGGGGATTGAACGTCGACCTACAAAAAGAGATATCGTTGCTCTACCGTCCAGCCCAAGGGCTTGGCCAAATAACTGCAATTGTCTATACTTTGGAGGCATAAGTAATTAGGAAATAACACTACCCAGGAATGAACTAAATTACGTTGTTATCATTCTTGTCTTCCTGTGCATTGTTTACACAGGTGCTGAGGTGTTAGTGGACATAGTGGTGTTACGGACGAGGCTAGGCCCCATGTCTTTTTGTTCCTGTCATCAGTGTGGGTGAGGTTAGGCTTCTTGCCTCATTACCTTTCATCAGTGTGGGTAAGCTTAGGCTTCCTGTTTCTTTACCTTTTATCAGTGTGGGTGATGTTAGGCTTCCTGCTTCATTACATGACTGTCAATGACGAATAGAGAAGTCTGCCATTTTACTTAGCAAATATTGCAATGCCTTCTGACCGTGAACACTGTAGACAGTCAGGAGTTGCAGAATGTTGACAAGTCTGGTGTTTCCTCCCTTGAGTGAGCTTATGCGATCTCTAATTGTTTCACCACACTCATTAGCGGCTGTAGAGACAATTTTCTTAAGTTACTCGTTAATACAGACATCAGAAGTTGTCTAAACACGGAAGCCAAACACGGAGACTGTAAATGGGATAATTGTATCTGGGTGTGCAAAGATAGAACCTTAATTAAATTTATTCTCTCAGTGATTTTTTCCCTTTGTTTATAGCCTATCAGTGTGGTATCCGTATTGTACATTCTCTCACAAGAAGAAGTGATAGTGAAGGCAGAAGGATAATGGTCATCAAGTGACTGTGATAGATTATACATTCCCTCTCACGAGAATATTTGTTCAGTTACAGTATTTCTTACTGTACGAGATATGGACAGGCAGCGGCTGATTGAGGACGCCGTGTTTCAATTAGGAATGTGTTGGCTGGTAATAATGCAACTTCAAGCAGACTCCAAAGGGTTTGTGTTTAGTAGGAGTCAACTTAAAGTCGATATGTAATGTATTGGGGGAAACTTTATCCTGTGCTTCCATCAGAAGTGTTTGGGCTTGCTTAGAAAGTTTTGATTATAAGTCTTAATCTCTATCCAAGAGAGCTTCTGATCATAGAGTAAATGTCAATAGGCATGCCAGGGATTTTGTTATGAGTAGTGGATTATGTCAGATTAAAACCGATAATTAAAACCGCTTGTTCATAATCTGTGCCCAGGGTGTAGAGTGAATTTATACCAAAATACAGGTTAAATCTGTAGGATTGTACTGGGGGCCGGGCCTAGTCCACCTCAGCTGGAGGCAGTGTTAGCATATGAGTTATATGTCTGCTGTCTTGTCTGTCTACTGTGTTATAAGACCATAACACAGAGCAGTGGTTGGGTTACTGGGTGATTATCATCATAATTAATCACCACAGGCCGTGACACAACCTAATGAAATTTAATGAAAAAAATTATTGAAAAATAAGCTCGGTACATTTTGAAGTACTTTACGGTACAAATGGTACATTGTCAGCCTTATACGTACCTTGGTTACGAACAAACCTTTTCGCGAGATGGTAGTACTGAAAATACCTGACTTGTAAAACTGGTGTTGTTGGAGCTGCTGCAGGTGTTGTTGTAAGTTGCTGGTGGTGTGGCAGGTATATATATTGTTGGTGGTGTTGTTGCAGATGTTTATTTTAAGTTTTGTTGCAGGTGTTGTTACTGATATTTGCATGCAGAAAGGAGAATGCGAACAGCGTGGTCGGTGGCCTGGTTGCACCCATACTCAGAGGTGTTCACTGGTGACGGAAGGCCAGCTTGGTGCCCAGGTGGCGATAGTGATTATTTAAAGACCAGATTAGCATTCCATACTCGAGAGAAACCCAATTAGATTTTCTGGGGTGACGTTCTTGCATTCAAAGTCTTTCCGGGTACCAGCGCAGTAGAAATTCCTTATACATCAAACTCCATTACCGCTACCAGAGTGAAAACGTCAGTTGTGGTACTTAATCACCCTGAAGGAGGTACCATACATGGGCGCCTGGTGGCGCTGAGCGGCTCTTTCTTGATTTAAGACCCTTTGCTTTACCCAGTTTTATGGAAGAATAATTCATATTATGGTGTTTCATTATTGGTGAATTTACGCAGATTCTCTAGATTTATGTTCTTTATCGATTGAAAATGAGCAGTTGGAGCATGGTATATGAAGCTGAACGTCAGGAGAAAATGAG